CGTTATGCAAATAGTTCATAAGTCCCAATGTGGGACTAAGCTACCTTTATGCAAATGAACAGATTATGCAAATATACAGTATGCAGTGTGACTGTATATGGTAATATTAATATTGATTACGAAAAGCAAAATATTATCAATGAAAATTTTGTAATTACCCAGCAAGATCTGATCTGCATTTTGATTTCCAATTAAAATATTTATAAGCTAAAAATAGTACCTCTGGTTAGTTATTAACATGTCTTCTTTAGAAGATTTGCATTTTGTCATCTTGAACTCTGTCAAAAAATAAATTGTTTTCCCAAAAAAAAAAAACAATTCACGTCTGTCCTCCCAACCAATAGAATAATAATAAATAATTAATGTGTGTGTACACATTGATCATCTAACAAACTTTTTTTTCTCTAAAAAATATAAAAATATGCTGCCAAAAAGGAAATTCCATCAAAGAGGCAGAGAAAATGAAGCTGAAGAAATCTATGGGTAAGTGTTTTAAGGATGGTGGTGGTGGTTATTGCCCGCCACTCATTGTTACTCTAGTTAACATTATAATTAATGATATTCTTGTTTTAAAATAAAAAGAGAAGAAAAAAAATATAATTTGAGAAGCAATAACTTAAATTTGGAACAGTATGTTTTATCAGAAAATAATAATTTTAATTAATGAATTTACATACAACTTCTTTAACTTCTTTGTGTTTATAAACAATTTAGGCAAAAAGATCCTAATAGTAATATATTTGCAGCTAATAATAACAATGAAGATAATGATTACAAGTATGAATTTAATATTGTTGAATTCCGAAAGATAATTTCTAAAGTGAGTTTTATATGTTTACATTCACATTACATATTTCACATATAGCATTTTATTTTAATAAAATTTACATTTAACAGTGTATAAAACAATATCCAAATATGGGTGAAATACCAATGCTTATATGTTTAAATATAAATAAACTTGATTTCGGCATGACTGATTTGCTTGCAAATGGATAATTATCCCTTAAATGGTCAATATTTAATAAATAGAACTTATTCGCAGATATTGCATTATTATTGGTGGATCTAGGAATGATCTGCAAAATAGTTGCCCAAAATAATAATTTTTTCTCCAGTTGTATAACTTTTAAAGAAGGTTTTACGAAAACTACAAGGACAACAGCTGAATTTTTTTTATAGGTTTATGGGCTGAATCTCAACAATCATTTTCACATTAGGAAGTGATACCCTCAGAAAAGGTTTGCATGCACAAATAAATTTGTGGCCGTATACAACCATGTGACCATTGAAGGGATATGAAGAGTTCATAAAAAAAGATCATGTTGAGTTTTACAACCAATTAAAAAGATTAAAAGTATTAAAAGACTTCAAGTTAGGGGTGACTATACAAATAAAGCTGTCTGGAGTTGAAAAAAATTTTGTTCATGATTATTTAAGCAGTGATACAGTAAAAATTGGTTCCATCAAAAAAAATAGTGCACATATGGCTCTTTTGGTGCTGTTATATAACTTGTGGGCATATTTTATTATTTTTTTTAACTATGAAGATTTATACATAATTATATTTTCTAAAATTTTACCATTTTATATAAGTGAGGAAGTATGGAATAGCAATTCATTCCAAAAGAAGGATCCTTATTTAAATGAAAAATCATATTCACATGAAGCAATCAAACCAATCATGCAGTTTATACTTTTTAGTCTTGGGAAATTTGAAAAAAGATGGTATATACTTGTTAAATTATGCACTAATTTATTATCACTGATTACAACAAAATAAGCTATTAGAGTTCATTCTGTATGACCAACAATAACATTATCCATTGTTAATTTTTCTTAGGGATGGGTGTACATGTCAATCTACTGATTTTTGTAATTATGAAGTGGGTTCCCAGATTTTTTCATATATTTAGAAAGTACATATACATAGAGTTTGGATCCAGTTTGGCCCAAACTGGTTTGAACCTGTAAACCGGTTTGAAAATGGATAACTGGTTCTTAAAAAAAAAAGAGGGTTGAATCTGGTTTCTATTAAATATTAATATGTAATTCAAAAAAAAATATTTTAATAAAAAAACAATTTCAAAATGTCTGATAATAATGATGATGATGATACTAATAGTTTTAATAGTAATAATAATGAAGTGATTTATGTTGGGAGTATAATTAATGAATGACCTTTTAACAATAATTCATACATGTTATGTTAATAATATTTATTCTTTGCTACAGATAATGCAGATTCATCTTCAAATATATCTAGAATAAATAAAAAGAAAAGAAAAAATTATAGTT